CGTGGCAATGCGTTTTACAACAAATTATCTATATTTTCACACGTAAAAATATTGTATTTTTTACGTGCGTTTAAATACAATTTTTCTCAGTGGCCAAAAACTCTATATAACACTTATGTTTATATAAACTAGAAGTTACTATCGCAAGGAAGGTGCTGCCTCATCCCCAAGGGATAAAAGGCAGCATGCACAATTTGCCTGAATAAGGGGCTGTTTATATGATCCCGATTTGCCTTTGCCATTACTCTCATGATGTTTTTATATCATTAGGTTTAACTAAAACCACCCCCAAATACATAAAGAATACATAAAGGAAACTAAGTAAGTTATACTTTATAATTTAAAGTAAAATTGTAATGCAAAATATAATGAAATTAAACAATAAATAAATACCCCACAGAGCCTGGCCACCTGTGGTTTTATATGAATATCTCCAATGTCTCCAATGCTTATAACTTCTTGCTTTTGAAGCTAGCCATAGCAACAAGTCATGCTATGCAAGTTTTTAATGATTTGTATCATTCAAATAGATGCAAGATTATCAGCATAGGCATAGCAGAGTGGGCATAGCATGACGAGTTGTTATGACTAGCTTGCCACTGAATACTATACAATATTATATATTTATATAGGGAAAAATACATGAGTGCACAGAACACAAGAAATAAATTCTGGTATTTCCAAGCATTCATGTATTTTTCTGTTTACTATATGAAGGACAGTCTTTGAAAAGCGATATAATTTTTTTGCAGAAAAGCGATAACTTTCACATATGAGATTATCATAAATTATCTCACATGTGAGATAATCAGTTTTATCAGTGCTCGAAATCTCTATAATGCACTATACTTGATTACTTGGTATAAATTTAATAACAAATTCATGTATATAGAAATACTATAATACAAAACTACGCTTATCACAGAACAACTGTAATTTTTGTTTAATTAAATACATCAGCTTCAGATGGCACCATTCATTTGTAATGATTAAGATTGTACTGAGTCAGAACTTCAAAACTATATAATAAGAAAGAAATTGTGAGCAATATCGAAAAAAATATAGTATACCCTGAAATGTAGTGACACAGCCAAGTGAATATATAAATGTACGGTATTATGTAGCGGGCAGGTAGGATTACTTCTTATTATGCTGACAATGGACATATCTCAGAGATATATTTTTACAAACCGTCATACCTTGTACAAAAGTCCGGTGACATGCTATCACATGTAACTGCTGCTAAGTTAATATGTGCAGACAACCATGGGCAGATTTATATGTGCAGACAACCATGGGCAGATTTACTGGGGGGTTAGTACTGAGTATAACACCCTGAGGTGTTATAAAGTGTTCAACCCCACCAAAATTTCACTTCATCCCTCCCCTCCCACTTTGTGTGAAAGCCTTTAACCCTAACCCCTGCCTAAGCTCAGTGGTGCTGCTTGCACCCCACTAGAAAATATTCACCCTGGTTCCGGAGGTTTAAAATAAAACTCTGGTTGAAAGCGGCAATTGATTCATCGAGCCGCGCCAATCAGTTTGAATTAGGGTTAGGTCCGGACTCTATCTAATACAATACAATCAGGTCCTGACCCTGACTAATACAATCATCCAATCAGGAGACAGAGTCAGGACATGACACTAATTCAAACTAATTGGCGTGGCTCGATGAATCAATTGCCGCTTTCAACCAGAGGTTTATTTTTCCTCCGCCCTTCGCAATGAAAATAATAAAAAATAAACCTCTGAAACCAGGGTAGAAAATGTTTGGCCACCCCTCCTTTTATAAAATGAAAATCCGCCCTTGCAGATAACAATCCACACTGCATTGCTATAGGGATATATTTTAATATTTATAATATTAAGCCCTGCCACACAACATTCCACGTTTGTTTTAAAACGTGCTGAAATGGCTCAAACACATTGCTATAAACATGTAGAATAAACACTATAAACTCATCGCCTTTGGAAATCACCACACAAACAAATAAACTAAGAGTAGATTTTGACTACTTGTATATTAACTATAAAGACGATCACTAAGTGCAGGGTTAATTCTCAGTGAAATGCATGATAAATTCATGCTGAATCTATATTCATGAAATTATAGTGTTCTAAACATATTATATATATATATATATATATATATATATATATATATATATATATATATATATATATATATATATATATATATATATATATATATATATATATATAAAATGCCTTCATGTATATTACCAAAAAGAAATAAAGCTACCTTACCTGAATTATTGAAAATATAGTCCATGTTTGCATCATGAAAATAAGCTCATAACTGTCCTTGAGAAGAACTTGATCCGTGTGCAATACAAAGTCATTGACAAAGTAAAGTTTGACCGCTCCCCCTCGTTTAAAAAAGCTTCCTGAAGCCTTAATTATTTCCCCGGAATTACGACATCTTTACATACAGACAGACAGACACAAAATCGAGATCTCGACAATGCATAGCTCGGGCAAAGAGACTGGATACAAGTAAACGCGATACTTCATGTTAAGAATAGTGTGCTGCCTTCGGCAGCAATAAATGTATAAAGTTTGGTCGTTCACTGCAACCACGTATATCAATCATGTTTCGCTCGCTACTCTGGTTTAAATAAATGATTACAAAGTCAACTTTGTAATCATTTATTTAAACCAGTGTAGCGAGCGAAACATGAACATAGATGTATTAATACATCGTGTCCATGTTTAAAAGGCATAGCTTAAAAAATGGACGGGTATTCTGCAATCGCCCAGAAAAGAGTTACAAAAGTATAGAAAAGCAAGTGGAAATGGCGAATATAACAAAATAAAATATGTTAGATGTCATCACCACACAAGATTTGAAGCCACACACAATGTGTCCTGATCTGATTTTGACATCTCAACAAGCAATACACTATTTTGAAATCACCTGCATGGTGTGTGCGCAAGACAAACTGTGAAGGCGCATCTGATCATGAAGAGTATCCGCTGAATATTTGTTTAAGCGCGCGGGTCAATGATGCGTACGACTATTAATGAGGAGTCCGACTGTCTACGGAAAAAAATTTGCGTCGCCGATATCAATTCGATAAAGTTCAGAGTATGTGTATTTTAACAAATGGATGTAATTTTAACGAATAGCAAGAGGTTGTGTCGCAAAATCAATGGGTGAGATATCTTTGTATGAATTTTTTGTGTATATATATATATATATATATATATATATATATATATATATATATATATATATATATATATATATATATATATATATATATATATATATATATATATATATATATATATATCAAAATAAAGCCAATTCATCTTTTGTGCTTAATAACTTTCGAAATACTATTTCTAGTTAAACGCTTTTAGGCTTACTTCAAAACCTGTTCTTTTCTCTTTCAAACAAAGTATTATCCTTGTCTCCAATGCTAGTAATAATTGCACAGGAAAAGATTTAGTAAAACCTATCATTTTTAGTTGCTGCTTAATTATGCAAGTTTACTATGTTATTGTTTAGTCGGTTTAAATGTTAGAATTTTCTTCTTTAAACTTTAGTGTCCTCGTCACTACATCTGGAAAACCACGTAAGAGCAAATTAAAAGTATTTTAAAAGAGACCAAGTTGTTTGAAAATCCTAAACGAATGCTAAAAATCGTAAAAAATTCTTGTGTCTGAGCCATGACAGCGATGTAATGTAAACAGAAATTATAGCAAATTGATGTCAGTCAGCTTAGATGGTCCAAGCCAAAATTATATCGCATTTGAAGTTTCAAACTGAGTTAAAAATAGTGGAAGAAAAGCCGTAATTATACTTATTGTTACAATCCATTTAATAATATGCAACATTTTTTTGTTTTAATGAAAAAATCAGTTATTTTCATGAGAACGATTTGTTATTCCCTCTCAATATTTTTAATCTCCAATCGCAATAACGTAAAGTACTATTACCCGCGAACCAATGAGTCAAATTTTAGAAACAACCCACTGTTACAAAGCTGAATGGCTACGCTTTAAAATGAATGTAAACTTCTACTTTCGAAATAAAATTGTTTTTATTTTGGTGGGGGTCAAATTATCCCCCCCCCCCTTGTAAAACACTTGGTTGAGGGTCTGTTGCCCCCTGCGGTCACTAACTTGTCCAACAACTCAAGCTCTATAAGGTCTGGGAAATGCAATCCACTGCCTGGGAAATGTTTAAAATCTAATAAGGTATTTATTAAACACAAAAGACAGGACATAAGATTCACAAAGCAAATTTCAGTTACTAGAATATCAAACCTCCCTTCTAAATTCCATGTTTTGCTTATATTTTAGAGAAAAGGGACTTTCCCAGCTAACACAATTACGTTTTAAAAACGTCGTGGAAACGTTGGACTTACGTTATATGAACGTTCTGGGACAACGTTGTGACAACGAAAATTTGTAGACAGCAGAAAACGTTATCGCAACGTTGTAGCAAACGTAGCGAGAACGTAACTTGAACGTTGTCAAAACGTTTCTAACACGTTATAAGGACGTCCAATTTTAACTTTGTGAAAATGTGGTAAAAACGTCGTGGGAACGTTACGACTTAACGAAAGCCTCAAGGTACGTTTACACACATGATTTGCCGGCCGATTCAGCTTTAACTATATGATATTTGAAAAAATTGCAGCATTCGTTAAAACCTGAAATTGGCCAGATTATAATCCCGGTGTGTACACGTAGCTTAACACAGCCTAATTGCACCAGAACCATTGCTTACTTTAATATTCTTTCGCGAATTTTCTGACTACGTCGGCAAATTCGAGAAAGGAAATTAAAACGGGAAATGATTGTTGTGTAATAAACGCGGTTGTTAAGAATATTAAAATAAAGTAAACATAAATTTTTCTAAATATTTATTGACACAAAATGTTAAATGACTTCACATTAACTATTTACATAAACTTTAAGAACTATTAATAAATACATTAGTATATAAGGAAAGAATATGCACAACATTAAAAATTACTTGATCTACCAAATGATCTATCAAATATCATCCTTTTATAGAATCCCGGCAACGTTCTATAACATTCAAAAAAAAAAATTCTATTAATTATGAAATGAAGTGGGTTTAGCCAATACTGCATTCTGATTGGTTAGCTATACTGGCTATATATCAACATCTAGCTGTAACATTGTGATTTTATGAACTGAAAACTTGATTAGTGATACGGTCCATTAGAAAAAAAACTGGAATTAGCTGGGGAAAATGGTATAAAAACTGTTTAAGACCTACAGAAAATATATAATTTATGTACAGTTCATTCAAAAATAGGTTTTCCTTTGAAAACCTTCAACTCAAAACCTTAAAACTTAAGCAGTATGGCGAAAGCGTCGTTTTTGGGTGTGGTCAGTTTCGGACGTTTCGCCCCGGATTGGGGTTCGGGCAGCGTTACCATGCTGACCGTCATGGTCAACTTGCCCAAAACATTTGAGGTTATCTGTCCTAAATGAAATGCATACAAACTCATATACAGGTCCTAGACTACTTTAACAAATGCTTTTGCAGGTGCATCACAGACAACACACCTGAGAGAAACTTTAAGAACCTTTGAACCGCAACTTAAGCCTTGCTTTAACACCATATTCAGATCTCTCACAGTGTCATGAAGAAAATCTAAATTCTTAGGTTTTGACTTGCCATACGTTAAAGCAATTGGGAATATTCTAACTGGGGTAAGGTTCATAATACCACAGAGAACTGGCCATAAACTACTTTGTGAACTTTTGAACAAAGGAATGCCATCAATGTTCAAACTTATCTCTAAAGTATCAACAGAGTCTTTAACACTGTCTGGATAAGACTGGAAATTCTCCAAGAGTGCCTTTTCCAATGGGAAGTAAACATACTCCATCTCAGACTTATGGCCAATAGAAACAAGCCTTGGTGTAGCCAATAAAGCCCTGGCAGTGCTTGGCAATCCAGAATGGCCAGACTGTTTAAGTAATTTAAGGAGCCCATCAACTGCATTGTGTTTTACTTGAACGTTATTCACCCAAGTTCCAACTCATCTTTCAAACTGTAATTTTCTAATTGATCAGAATCGTCAGACAAACAAGAATTATCACTGATGCTGTCAGTGCCTGAAACACTGTGGTGAGCAGGTGCGTTTGTGCAAATTTCATCTATGTCAATTGTTTCTTCAATTAATATCACTGTTTCAATAATCAATTTTACAGAAAAACCTTCTTATGAAGTGTAGACCCTAAGCAACCTAAAAATGTCAAATATTCACTTTGATCTATCATTGAAACTTTTGCAAGGGGAGGTGCATGACTTTTTAGGGGAAGTGCAAAAATTCCCGGGGAAGGCGCAAAACAATATCAGGGGAGGTGCGCCCCGCAAAATCCGGCCTTGGTTTGTCTCACATTATGACATCACACTGTGTATCTATAACTGAACAGACAATGACAAAATCTTAATCTATTTGTTAATTAAACATATATAATTATAATTACGATAATAATACATATATAATTACAATCGAGGCCATATTTCAACTTAATAGGTGGAGAATTTGAAATAAAGTAGAATAAATTACATTTGCATATTTAAGCAGTAGTGGACCTTCCTTTGTTACTTTACTCTGCCTGACACAAAACTTTTTTTACTCTGATCGACACAAAAGACTCATTGCTTTGGCAATTTGTTATTTGATGCTTGTGATGTTACTCTGAGTGTGTATCCACATCGGGCAAACTTGAAAAATATGCCTGGCCACAGTGGGAATCGAACCACTACAACCTTTGGAATACTAGCCCAATGCTCTGCCAATTGAGCTATGTGATATTTCGGAACATAATCTAGTTCCTTTGATATCAATGTAGTCTAGTAATCATAATTTTTTCTGTGGTGGTGTAATGTACTCAGGTGAATATGATGCTTGAAAACACATGAAATTGCTTGATGCTTTGTAAACACATGAAATTAAACCTTAATTTTACTCGGCCCCATGCAGTCACATATACAAATTTGAATAAAAATCCCAGTATGTACACAAATAATGTATTCAAATACTGCGGATTCAGGTTGAGTGTTTAATGACGTCAAGATTATGTGAACATTGAAACAGAAAAACACAGGTGTTGACAAGTGACAAATTACTTGTTGCTATGAGAGAATGTCTGTAAACAAACAGTTTTTTAAATGTGGCGTGCAAACAATTATGGTCGACTAGTTATGCCCGAAAACCCTTTATCCGAAGACTAAGGTTGTTAACAAAAGGAAATATTATTAGCAATGGATGTGATCCCGAAACAGGAGCTTTTCCTGGAAAATTCATAAAAGTAGACGTCCCATTGGGATATCGTCAGCCATTGTATCAAAAATTTGGAAACGTTTATACTGCAGAGATAAAATAGTTTCTTCTAAGCCAAATGCGGATAACAATGGTCTTCTTGCCTGTGTTTAATAATCTCATTATTTGAAATTTAAAATACTTCGATGATAAGTCAATTTCTACACACGAGAAAAGATCATCATATGTTAAAGATAGCAATATATAGATAGCAATAAATATACGGGTTATTCAATTGTTACAATAATAATTGTATACAACTTGAATTTCAGGAGATTATCCATATTTTTGCATTACAGTGTAAATTCTAAACATATATATTCAATTCAAAATGTCACCGCTGGTCCGCTCCCTCATAGCAACAAGTAATTTGCCACTTGACAATGCCCATGTTTTTCTGTTGCAATGCTCACATGATCGTGACGTCATTAAACACTCAACCTGAATCCGCAATAAACTGACCATAATGTATACAGGTCATAATAAATTAGTATTTTTAAATTTTAAAAAAATATATTTTTTGGTTGTTATAACGATGTTGGCTCAATATTTATAACAATATGCAATAAATGAAAGCAGGCTGCCATGTGCAGTCAAACCTTAAAATAGCCAAATAGACTTGAATGATACAGTAAGAGACAAAGAGAATGTACTTTGAGCTTTGACAAGCAGGAAAGCTCAGATTCTGCACCAAATGCAAAGTTAGTAGTCATATTAACTGCCTGAAAATGTAGCCACAAAATAAGTTTCAAGATATAACAATAGTAATCCCAACAATTATAGTGCGTCTATAGTATAGGTGAAATTTTATAGGTACATGCGGCTATGAAAACGCCAATTTGTTAACGCTAGGCTTTATGCGGTAAATAGGGCAAAAACGACTGAAACTTCCAAGGTTAGCGACACCATCTTGTCAAGTGGGGCAAACATAATACTGAAAACAATATATTCAAGATGGCGTCCCTATTTACAACCAACGGTGTGTATAAATTCTAGCTGGTCGAGATCTGATAACAAAGAATAGTAAACCAAGAAGTTCAATGCCTTCAAGGCAACTATATGTAAAAGTACACTACACAGTCCGCAAATTTCGAATGATTCGTGTAAATAAATGCAAAATATATTTGTGATTGTCTGGCGAGTGCGAGTCACATGTATTAATTAAAAATAATTCACGACAAATATCTTAATCTGAAAAAATATTAAAATGTTATATCAATATATATATATGGCTACACTACTGATACAAAATATCATAAGTATCACTTACGTTTACGTAGAAGAAATATAGGAGAGTCAAGGAAAGTCCAAGTATTAAAATCTTCAATCTAGTTTTATATCTTGCCCACGAGATGCCGACGCGCAGCTTAAATTATGCGCATATATGCAATGAAGGATCAAATTATATATTCATATCAAATTTCGCAGACGTCCGACTTTTTTTAGCCAATTAAAATCGAGTATTTTTGATCCGCGAAAACCGCGAAACTCATGTGTCTATAATATTAGTGACTTCGCACATAGTTCACATACAATTTGGATTTTGCCAAAATTTTGCCTTTTTGGTGACATATGGTGACTATATAGGGATTTAGTCAATGACAATTAATGCAACTGAAACAAATAACTGATGTATGAGTTTTAACTTTAAAACCATATAAAATTTAAAGTTTATCACCACCGATGGCTGATAAACCGTTCAATTACCAATTCAAACTTGAATTTAATAATATCAACAAAACATTCTCCATATATTGTCATTGAATTCAATATGAACGTTAATTTTAATAGTACGTCAAACCTTTACAGAACGTCACGACGACGTTTTCTTGTAATTAAAATTTCACGTTATTACGAAACAATATCACAACGTCATTACAACGTTGCTGATCAAGCGTTCTTGTCACGTTGCATTCATGTGTAAGTAAAACGTTTTTACAACGTTAGTATTCAAACTTTCTAGCCACGTTGTATTCATCCGTAATTAAAACGTTTTCACAACGTTAGTATTCAAACGACAACGAAGACAAAGTTGTCAAAAGGTTGTCACAATGTTAGGTCCGACCTAACCAAATTACAACCTTCCAAAAACGTTTTTACAACGTTATGTGTTGGCTGGGTTGACTGGGGGGGGCCAAAATGGTTAAGTGGGGGGGCCACCATGGGGGCTGGGGGGGCTTTGGCCCCCCCAGTTATATAGTTAAAAAATGCCCTGATTTGTCGCCTTTGAAAGACAAAAGCCGCTCAAAATAATCCTTCACGTTTTCCGCATTCCTTTTTTCGAGGAAAGTTTTCTTTCGAATTACAACTCGAACTCTCACGATTGACTTTTTGATGCGTCTTATCTCTGGTTTTATGCACCCAATAAGGACAAAAATACCACCGTTCGATTCAGTGTAAGAAATTATACTCACAGATGTCAAATGTATTACTAAACTACAGTATTCTAGCGATTTATGGCCTTTGAAAGACAAGCGAAATTGTAATGTTCACAAATCGCTCAAAATTATTAAGCTAATTAATTAAAAATGCAATACATTTGACCTTGATAACTTTCGTATTGTTGGTTTTCTCTTTTTCGTCCGTTTACCTGTCGATTTGTCTCACTTTTCTCTTTATTTTGTTTGTAGTTTCAGCCCAAAATATTATATTTTGAAGGTTTTAATGAGCAGTTTTAATAAGCGAAATTGTATTGTTTACAAATCGCTCAAAATTATTAAACTAATTAAAAATGCAGTCCGTTTAATCCTTGATAACTTCGGAATTGTTGGTTTTCTCGTTTTTGGCCGTATGGCAGTGGATTCGTCTCACTTTTCTCCTCATTTTGATAGTATTTTGAGCCCAAAATATTTTATTTTGAAGGCTTTAAAACGCAGTTTTGATCCTAACGTACGGACCAACTGGCGGCCGACAGGAGAATGTGTAGCGTGCTAAATATAACTTTACTTGTACATGCAGGCGGAAACGCCAAAACTTTTATTTGGAGGCGCGCACCGCATTTTAGCACTGTGTCTGGTTCTGCCTGTGAGTTTGTCCGTTTGTTTGTTTGTTAGTTTGTTAGTTTGTTCGCATCAATACGTTTCCTTAATCGCCTACCAAAAATTCCTTACACGTGCTCGGAATTTATTAATTATTATTAATCGTGTACTCTCATGATGATCAACTGTTTGCTCAGCTTTATCTCTGGTTTTATGCGTCAAACAAGGACAATAATACCACTGTTGGAATCAGCGTGAAAAGTTGTGTTTACGGATGGAATTGATTTCAAAATTGACTTCTATTTTAGCGATTTGTCGCCCTTGAAAGACAAAAGCCGCTTCAAATAATCCTTCACGTTTTCCGAATTCCTTTTTTCGTGGAACGTTTTCTTTCGAATTAATCTCGAACTTTCACGATTGACTTTTTGCTGCGACTTATCTCTGGTTTTATGCACCCAATAAGGACAAAAGTACCACCGTTCGATTCAGTGTAAGAAATTATACTCACAGAAGTCAAATGTATTACTAAACTACAGTATTCTAGCGATTTATGGCCTTTGAAAGACAAGCGAAATTGTA